TGAGGATGATTAGAGGTTCTGAATATTGAATAGACTGTTATTTGGTGGTGTTAAGATTGGATCTGGGTAAAATATAGTCATGGAAGAACAGGGCAGTGAAAAGAACCAGAGTTAAGTAGAATGACACCAGGAGAAGAGAATATGAGCTTTGAATGAAAAAGCATAAGAAGACACTTTAAGCCCTCCATCCAAATAGAACAAATGGAAAGTGAATATAAAGAAAGATGATTTGAAAGTTGCTTGAAGCAGAATAAAGAGAATTATATTACAGAGTATCATAGTATATGGAGGTGGCTTGGTGGAATGATGACGTGAAAGAGGCTGTGGATGAAAAAAATGCATGTAAGAGAATTATTACAAAAATGAGCATGAGATAATGAAATTTTGCAAAGTGTATATAGGAAAAAAGATAGCTGCAAAGAATGCCAGAGATACCAAGGAAATGTTAACATTAAAAGAAGTAAAAAAAAAAAAAAAAGACAAAGAACAAAGAGATTTTAGGTTAAAAAAAAAAATTAAATGAAACTCTGAAAAGGGATGAACAAGGAGCCTCCAGTAGAGTGAATCGGATTAAAAATAAAAGTAATGAAATAATTTGTGGTGAAAATGTAGTAAGGAAATACTGGAGGGAGTATTTTAGAGATTTATATGGGAATGAAAGTGATATGACAAAGACAGCATTGAAATGAATGCTAGTGTTAAAAAAATTATGCAAAGAAAGTAATAAATGCTGTGAGAAAAGTTAAAGTGCTAAAGCTTTAGGATTAGATAGTGTAACTGTAGAAATGTTAAAATAGGGCTGTGCTTTGTTTATGGAATAGTGTGATTTGTTTAATGTACAGTGGTACCTCGGTTCACGAACTTAATTCGTTCCACGACTCTGGTCACGAACCAAATTGGTTGTGAACCGAATCAAATTTTCCCATAAGGTTCAGTGTAAATACGGTTAATCCGTTCTGACCCCTACAAATGTGATCACCAACCGATTTTGGTTGCCAACCGAATCAAATTTTCCCATAAGGTTCAATGTAAATAC